CATGCAATCAATTTCTTAAAAGAGACAAATAAATACAAAAATTGACAAAAAATTGAAGCTTGTCAGTAAAAGAATTTAAAAATAACTTTTTCCATAGTTATAGTTGCTCATACCTTTTATTAAATTTGCAATAAATATATCTCAGTTAGAATTGTATAATATTTTACTAGACAGAGTTCTATAAGATTTTCTCTAAAATTTTCATGGAGTTGTTATAAAAATTTACCTTTACTTTTTATGAAAGGAATGATCCCATTTTACAAAAAATAAATATGAACACTTATACCACTCATTAACCCTTTTAAATTAGTAATAATTTTATAAGGATTGTTACATTTAAAACTTTTTTAAAATTTTTTTTATGAGTTTGTCTGTTTCCGTTCAATTCCATAAATTCATGTAGAAATGTCTTAGTTGAAAAAAACAACTTTATCTTTTTTTTCAATTACCTTCTACGTTTCACATAGCTTACTTTTATATTTTTATTAACATGTGGCGCAAAAAAAAGTTACAATTCTACTTTTTATTTCTTAAATAAAAATTTGATATATAGTTTCCTATACCAATAAATATTTGTTTAACATAAATGTTAAACTTCCTTTTAAGGAGAATCTGAATATTCAGATATTAGAAGAATCTTAGATATTATTCCATTATCTAGATCAGGGGTTTCCAACTTAAATCAGGCCGGGGGCCACAATTAAAAACACATATTAAATGGCGGGCCACAACTTTATCAAAATTATAGTAGTACTCTTATGTTTGAAGGAACATTAAATATAAAAAAAAAAAAAATGAAAAGAGCAACATATACGATTATTTTTGTATTTGAATAAATATTTTCTTAGATGCAAGAACTGAGAAATAAATTTTTTTGCACCGGTGGTATGTTAAATTCCACAGAAATGAAGAAATTATGTTTTTATTAACGAGAAAAGTATTTTAAGCCCATAAAGATTTTTTACGAAAATTGCCCGCAAAAAAATGACAACTAATATATTTTAGTTCACGAGCCACAAAAAAAGGCTTCGCAGGCTGGATACGGCCCCCGGACCGCCAGTTGGAAACCCCTGATCTAGATGGTTAAGACTATAAAAAGGTTCTATGTATTATTAAACAGATACATACAGTTGTATGCTCAAATTCAGAGAGAAAAAGTATGTTATTAACATGTGATTTCATCTACAGAAAAAAATGTTTTGGTATAGCTAAAAAAGCAAAATTTATAAATATATTCAAATCTCTGAGTAAATATTATTAAAATATACATAAACTTGACCGAATCTAATATTTTAAGAAAAATGATGTTCAATTTCTCACTTTGAAAGTTTTTAAATCTTATTCTAAGACTCTGTCATTAAATTAAAATAAGCATCTTAGCAAAAAATATAAAATTTTAATTGCTGTAATGAAATTGTAGGAGTTTTAGGGATCCCACTTAATTTCAGGAAAATTTCAATGTAAATCCAGACCATATTTCATCCATACCATGCAGTGTTTCATCAGAAAACTTTGATTTTTCATTTGTAATAATATTAGATTTTGTGAGCAAAAAAAGATATTGCATAAGGATGGAAACACGGAAAAGTTTTCCCTAAAATGTGGAATTTTTACACTAAATAATTGTTATATCGAATCTAACTAGCTCATTATTATTATAGAAAATTCTAAGACTAGTTATTTTCAAGGCATAATGTAGGAATTTTCCAAGTTTTTTTTTAAAAAAATGCAACTTTCCCTAACTATTTCCTGCTTTTTAAGAATCAAAATTAAATTTCCGAACAATTGCAGGTTTTCTCCGTTCTCTCTGAGTTATAAATGACTGTCAGGTTAAGTTTTGTCTATCTTTAGCAGAAGTCATCAATGCTAATTATGATAATAGCACAAAATGTCTGTATAAATAAAATTTACAGTTCTGTGAGAATGAAAAGCATGTGATTTTTTTAATATTTAAAAAGTTACTCCATAATCACATTGCCTAAACTTAAAAAAATGCAAAAATTGAAAATTTGTCAATTTTAACTTTTATGATTTAATTTTTAAAATTTGAAATCTTAATTAAAATCACACGCACCATAATATATAACAAAATATGGTTAAAACATATTTTTAAGATACAACAACTTTAGTTTTACCAGTTACAGTTGTCAGAGATACATTTTTATAAAAATTAGAATATGGGGAATAATTTTAAATAAATTATCATAAAAATAATTACTTTTCACTTTCCCCCAGCCATTTAGAAACTAGACTTGAAGATGAGACAGAAAAAAAGGTGGAATTATTTGCTTCAGTGGCAACTGCTTTTGCCAGAAAAGATTTTCCTGTTCCAGGAGGCTAAAAGAGAGATATTGAATAGTGTAAAACAATATTTAAGTTTACTAGAGGATACAGAATCTTTCAAATATCTATTTAATACAACTTACACCAAACAATAAAATTCCTTTCCAAGGTTTCCTTTTACCGGTAAAAAGATGGGGAAATTTAATAGGTAAAATAACAGCTTCTTTTAATGCTTCTTTTGCACCTTCTAGGCCAGCAACATCAGACCATTTTATATTTGGTTTCTCAACAACAATGGCTCCTAAGAGTTTAAAAGCATTTTCATAAAAATACAGAATAAATAGAAGATAACGTTTTTTAAAAATAATGTATAAATATAAATTCGTTAGAAAAACCATACATTTAACAATAAAAGAAGATAAAAGTTCAAAAACATTCTATAACTTCAACGTTAGTAGATCAACTTTTGTTTCAAACCATAAGCTTGAATAAATTCAAAATATCATCGACAATATATGATAACACTTTGTCTACTTTATTTATTTTCAAATGGGTTCTTGATATAGTGTGCAATGAATCATTAACTAAGTACATGTAAGCTGTGTGTTATCCTTGCTTCTGCATTCCATTCAATAAACATAACAGCTGTTTCAGAGATTAGAATATTTTCAACTTCTCTTATTACATAAAATTATACGTGTTCTATGTTACACTTTTGCAGGGATACCAGGGGGGAGATCACTACATTTTCACTACAGAGCTATTTTGTTCGAGATGCACCAAATTAAGACAATTGTCTAATTTGCCAAACGTGTTGAAAAGGGAGCTAAATATCCTTTGTGATTTCAATATCATAAAAAGCAAAAGCTTAAAACATAAGTTTCGAAAAAGTTAAGTTTGTCTAATAACAAGTAGCCCCATAACAAAAACTGTTTCATTCCATTGGTAAATTTATTTCAGCAAATTTAAGGTTGTAAAAAATTTTATTAATTCAATCGTGGGATGGGAAAAAGTTAAAAATTTTCAATGCAATTTCATACCAAAGTGATTATGACTCGATAAAAATGGATTTGGTGATAGAATTGCAATTGGAAAAATAACAAATAAGCTCTTTCCAAAAATATAAGTACATAGAGCATCATTGCATTTGATTGTTAACAAAAACTTTCATTTTAATATTGCTTTTTAGTTTTCTATTGTGCAATAAACATACTACTTAAGGTTTTGACAAATGGTTTCTTACTTAAGCTCAAAATGTTGTAGCCAACTTTATGAAGAAAATAATATTTGAGGAAAACTTATTTTCTTAACACTTATTTTCAAACAACGTCCTACTCAAAATTAAATAAGGAAAAATGAATTTTTTATTTACTCATTTATTTATTTTATAAACACTCACAATATTTTAGTATTCTAAATGGTTAACAGATACAGAGGTGGCTAAAAATGAAAGAGATTCAAAACGAAAATTATTTTTGAAAAATTTCGATTCCTTCAAGCTTTTAATATAATTTTTTACTTAGTTCCTTAATTTTTAATCAAAGTTTCTTCTAACGAAACCCATGCAAAAGAACACTATTCATACAATCATTAATCAACTTCTCAATAACTCGGTAATTTTGTTCTCAGGGGAAAAAAGAAAAGAAAAAAAACTTAATTTCTAAAGAGAGGAAGGAATTGGTAAAAATGGAAAATTTAAAACTAAATTTTTTAACTGCTAATATTTAAAACAGCTTCTTTGAACAACTTCGTGACCGATTTAGTAACTCATTTAAAAGTAAATAGATAATAGATAAAAATAAATAGAAAATCTATGTATTACTATATCAATAGTACACAAAATTATCACATAAAAATTTTCTCTATTTTTATGTGTATTCGTTAACTAGAATAAAAACAAATTAAGGCATAATTCATACATAACATTTCAATACAATATTTATCATATGTCATTGCTTTTGTCTCCCATATGACAGAGAGACCAAACCTTATTGAGGAAATATTTTAAGAAAAGTGTTAAATTCAGCAGTTTTTTTTTAAAATTTAATTTTGTATTAGAGATAATAAGATTGGGAAAAAAATGCAAAATATTTTATAAGTATTTTGAAGTTGATGAAATGCAATTTTTAAAAGGAAAAAAAGAGATTACATTAAAGTGACTTTGAACAGTTTTAAAAAGGATACTACATATTGTATTTAGAAGAACATAATAGAGAATTATGAAAAATACATTGCTTATAGACATTTTGAACGTAAAATATAATTTAAACACAACTCTTTACAATATTTAGAGATTTTAAGCAATTAAAAAAATGGAAGTAGTTAACGGAATTTGATATATAACTAAAAGTAAACTGTAATAATGTAAGTTCATTATTACGAAAATAATTTAAGATTTTTCAGGTTGATATGCAGGTAAAGTGAATTAAAAATTTTAACAAATAACATACCACGTGAATTTTACAGAGAAAATCTTTTAAAAAACAAATGCACACAATTAAGCTAATACATTTATAAATACAATATATGTTTTTACTTAAATAATACAAAGGCAAATCAATATACCTTCCAATTGGTGGGTAAGTTTCTTTTTTTCAGGGTCATCATCACTATCACTACTGTTGCCACTATTTTTTCTAAAAAAATATTATTAAATTAAATTATTATACTTGAAATATGATTGAGTTAACTATTTCAACAAAACAGTTTAACTACAATGCAACTGATGAAGCATATTTTTGAAATTTGTTAACTATTAGTATCACAGAAAATTGTATTTGTATGCATAGAAAAAAATTACCACTATTTTTGCAATGTAGCCCTTTCTGTTCAAAAACTACTGAAAGAATTATTAATTAAATAAAATAAATATATAATACATAGAAAATATAATGAATAAAGCAAAACTATTATATTGCTGTTTTATTTTTATTCCATACAAATATAGCAGATAAAATCAAAATTCATCTGAATCATAAAGATACATCCTTATCATGTCTCAGTCCTGATGGTAACTGAGTTGCATATTAAATAAAAAATCCATTTGATTTATGCAATCGTAATTATTGCAATGTAGAAATAAACATAGTTTTTCAAATACAACTAGTGTTATAGTTTGAGCATAACAATGTTTTTTGAACAAGTCAAGTTTTCAGTTTAGGAAAAAGTTTATTGTTTAGTAACATAACAGCCAAGAAAGATAAAAAAAAAAAAAAAAAAAAAAAAAAAAAAAAANAAAAAAAAAAAAAAAGTGAATTTTTGCAAACATTTTCACAATATATTTTTAATATTTCCTTCATTAGGAGATTTTTAAGAAAGAGAATAGTAATCAAATAATCGTGAATAGAAGTTAGAGATTACTAATTTTTTATGAAATTTTTCAAAACACATAAATAAATAATTTTAAATTAAAAATTCGATATTTTTCTTCGTTTTTAAAACTTAATACCATAAATGAAAATTTCTTTATTTATAATTATTACTTACGTAAAATTTTAAACAATGATTTGAGTAAAAAATATTTTTTCTTTTAGAGAATTTACTAAAATATACTAAAAAAACAGCAGCATTTTTAATTAGACCAGAGAAATGAAAAAAATTAAGTAGAGTTGGCAGGTATGTAATGTATTAAAACCTATGTTTAAGTTCCATTTCATGTAGTGGAGTAACAATAGCCCTTCTTGCAACAGAGAAAATTTTCATCTCAACTGTTTAACTAATTCTTTTTGTGAAATATTTTTTTCTTGTGGATAAAAACTAATAACATATTTATTAAATGATATCCAGTCTAGTGCAATACCTTTTAATATTAAGTAATATTTTAATTTATTGTACAATCTCAATTAACCATCTAATTTGATGACCCAAAAAACCCAGATAACTGAATACAGAAAATATTCTACATGATAACAGAATACAGTTACATGTGCAATTTTTCTTTACTAAAGTTTAACAGATTTTTGTAGAAAATATAAGTTATTTTTTTAAATCAAATTAAAACACTCTTTTCTTACTTGTATTGGGTCATAAAAACTAATACATGAACAAGTATTAAACTTGTCTACAGTAAGAGTATTCTGATAAATCACTTGCTGTCACTCAAGAGTTAATTGAACTATAACTACCATTAAAAAATTCAACAATCGCTCTTTGCAAGATTGTAAGTGCAAATTGACTATTAAATTATGATTAGCATAAACATGGGAGGATAGATTAATTAAATTAAGATATAAAAGTTAAAAAGAAGCTTGCACTAGCACCTTGAAAAAATAAATAAGATATATAGGAGAGAAAATATATAGGCTTACGATGTAGGACCATCCTCTGTGTCTTTAATAGGCTTCTTTTGCTTGTCCTTCAAATATTTCTTTAACTTTTCTGCTCTTTCTAAGTACTGGACACACTTTGCTCGTATGCTCTCTTTAGCTTTATCACTCTGAGCTTCATCTGGAAAAAAACATTTCATATTATTTTTTTAAACATGATAAATAAATATGCAAATAATGATGCAATTTTAACCTAAGTTACAAATTTCAGATATTATTTTGGAACAGGCTTAGTGTGCTTTTCTAGTATAAAAAGTGGTATTTTGGAACAGGCTTAGTATAAAAAGTGATTGTTTAGGAAGATATTAAGAAAATGTTTAATTTGGTGTTAAGATAAATTTAAAAAAATTAAAGCATAATTGAAATAGAATTGAAGTACTTTTGAACAAACGTGTCTGTTTTAGAGAAGAGTGAACAAAATTGAATGGCTAAGAGAAGTATGCTAAACTGGTATACTAAATAAGGGTTTTAAAAAAAAGGTATTTATTCAAAACAATTAAAAAATAAAATCAGTGTTTTCCCTAAGTGTTTTAAGAAGGGTGGCCCACCCAGCCAGCCCTTTTACAAAAACAGGTCTTGTCCCTCCCACTTTTTCTATTAGAAAAAAAAAAATGCTCTTTTTCCAGTAGCAGATTTATTGCAAAGATTGCAGCAGTAGAAATGAGGAACTTCTGATAACCTTAACTGCAAATTATTTTTAGGCTAAGTCAATATGTATAAAATATTTCCTATATTTATTTGTATTCTGTTTCAAAGCTATTAATGAAGCTATTGCTCTTCAAAAGGAGTGCAAAATTAGTGCCCTTAAAAATTGAAAATGCCCTTGTTTTTTAAAAAGCACCTTGCCCTTCTTTTATTTTTAGGGAGATCTTTGTAAAATCAAATGATATCTGCAATAAGTATAAAAGTAAAAAGGGTTGGAAAACAATAATAATAAAAACAAGGGTTCTAGAGCTACAAGCAGATTTAGATAAAATGAAAAACTTTCTGTGAACACAAAATCTCAAATAAAAAACTTCCTGCAAGCAACTATAATTACTCTTAAATAAAACAACACTCTTGAAACTAGTTCTAATCTTTAGGCAGCCTCCTATTTTGGCGAAGTTCATTTGAAAATCATCATTATTTTCAAAAATGCTTTAATTTATAAAAATTTTATATTGATTATTAAAAATAGCAGTATACCTGAACAAATGCAATGACGTGCTGCTTTGCGAAGTACAGAGTCGAAATTCGTATATTTATATCTGCAAGATTGATCCATGAGTTAAGATTGGGCAATTTTGATTGTCTTCAGTAACGCTAAAAGATTTTCTGTGATGTATAAAAATATTAACTGCAGGGTAAAATTGGAAATTTTGTTTATAAAGGGCAATCATAAATTTTTTTTCTGCAATGTTGAAAAATATTGACTACAGTTTGAAATAGGAGAATTTAGACTATTTTTTGTTCATAATAAGGTACGCTAAAAAATGTTCGTGCCAGGGTTGGCAAGTTTCTGCCACATGACGGTTTTTATCGTCATGTCAAAAACCCATAGTTTTGGTAAAACTGTATTTTTATTTGAGTTCAACTGCTTGTAATTTAAAATTAATTCATTTTAGGCAATAAAATTAGAAAAAAAGTTGTTAGAAGATATTTAAGAACAGATTCTTGCATGTTCCCAACATGATTATATCAAAACATATTATTTGAAGTAAAATATTAGGATACTAAACAAATTTTTCAACATTTCCAAGCATCATTTTGTTTGGCATATTACATTACTGAAGAATGTCAAGTCATTCTTGACTTAAGAGTTTGTTAGTAGCTACAAGTTTTGTTTAGCTTATTTCTAATGTTTAAAAAATGCCAAATTTTAAATTCTTCTTTTTAGTTCTTGAATTTATTAATAGTTCCAAGCTTTTTTGTTTGTTTGTTTATTTCTAACAATTAAGAAGAGCAAAATTTTGAATCCTTTGCAAATCAAGCTATAATGATAAAAATAAGTATCACTATTTTCAATAAGTATATTACAATATTTCTATATGAATGTATATTCTTCTATAAGATTACATGTATATAGTTGCAAAATCAATAGCAATCATTTACAACATTCATTTATTCAATCATTTACAAAGGCAATTATGTGAAAATAATATATTGTCTGCCATATGCCATAAATTAAAGAAAACAGTAGGTTTTTGACGGTTTTTACCACTGTCATGTCGAAAACCAGTTTTTGACGGCAAAAACCCAACCCTGGTTCGTGCATATAACATATCTGACTATAAGATCCCCTAAGAAAGGTAAATTGTCCTCAAAGGACCTATTTTGCAGCAGACAGAGTGAGTGAACCACTGTAATTCACAAAGAGGATATATAATTACATTTAATGGCATGTAAAAAATATTCAACTCCATGTTCATATAATCTGCATGCTTCATCATAGTTTTTCTTTTTGTCTTCTTCAGTAGCTTTAGTAACCATATCAATTCCTTTCTGAAACATAAATTAAACTTATTGAGAAACAATTACAATGAGTGTATATAAAATGCATTCAGAGAGACACACATTCATGCAAATTTTTTCTAGCTTTATACTAAAATGTTTTCAGCAAATGCAACAGATTCAAGTTAAACTAATTTATTTCTTAACTTCTCAAAATAGAACAAAATAGTCATTCATTGCAGCATTTAAAAGACATGTACAGTAAATTCCTATACTTTTAATATAGCTAATTCCGTGATAATAAAGTATGCAAAACAAAAATGAAAGTGCCCTTCACTGGCAAGACCTATTGCCAATAAATCCAATGCAGTCTGAACTTAAGGATAAAAGATGACAATAAAAGTGAGGCTTGTACAGCGTGTGTTGCCTCTAGTATGGTGTATGATCACCCCTGACAGACAGACAGCATGCACAACGAGTATGCATGCTATTAATAAGGGAGTTAAGGAGCACTCACGGAAGACCCTCCCCTTTTTCCACCAGAGCAATTTTTAACAACAGAATGGTTCTGGGGGGAGGTTCACGCATTGCAATAGTTCTCCCAAGAGCATCCCAAACATGTTCAATAGGATTCAGGTTAGGGGATTTGGCTGGCCAATCCATTTGTTGAATATCCTCTGTTTCTAGATACTCATCAACCATGAGAGCCCTATGTGGTTGCGCAATTGTCGACCATAAAAATGAACTCAGGGCCAACAACAGCGCCCCTGAAAAGACGCACATAGGGCTCTAGGACCTCCTGTCTGTACCTCTGGGCATTCACGGAGCCATTGTCCAACACATGGAGCGGTGTGCAGGCATCTTGCATGATCCCTGCCCAAACCATGAGCTCTCCACCAGCATAATGGACCCTATCTATACTGTTGCTGGGCTGGTATCGAGTTTCAGGTTCCCTCTATATCAATAACCGTCCAGAAATAGTGTCATAGAAATGTGAAAAAATACTTTCCATCTCTCAATTTCGTCCACCAGTGTACTTGGCAATGTTAGGACATATTACTGATAAAATTAGCATATTTGAACACAACAATGCCATCATTTTCTTGTAGTTAAAAGCTGTTTCATAAAATTTGAAACTGCTTCTTAACTATAATGTTTCATACAAAACTTAACAATGTAATATTAAGAAAAGGAAAAAAACTATGACAAAAGAAGTATAATTTTCCGTTTTATCATATGAGCTTTAATTTATTAAAATAAAAATTATAATTTTTATCTATATTTTCTTACATTGTAGTAGCTGGTATTTGAAAATATTAACATTATAATAATGGCATTTGGTTATCGGCACACTTTTGCCTTTAAGACATAATATTTTACAGTTCGAGCAATGTTGAAATGCTCAACATTTTTGATGTACATATGATCGTGTTGTTGCAACAAGATTACTAGGCAAAGGGAGGATATGTAATTAAATGATCAAAAAGAACAGAGAAAGTTGCACCAGGGGTTGGTGATTAATAGTATTTAGGGGAAGATTTCTTCATAGAAATAAAAATAAAAAGAGGGAGAAAATTTTTGGAGTATAAAATTTAGCTGTAAGATGAGGAATTTTTATCGGAATAATTAGTACTTAAATACTAGCAACAAATAAAAACAAGCAATGACAAAAAGTATTTGATCATATCAAGACTGCAACAATGAAACTTAAAACTAGTTTTTATCAATATTTAAAAAATGTATATTACAATCAAGATATTTAACATGTTAAAACTTGCACCAAAAATTTTGGTAGATTTTGCATGCATTCAATCTTTTATTCTATCAATTAATCGCAAAACACTGCTTTTAAATCCATGTTATCAATTTCACAGGACGAAAAGAAAGTTCCCAAACGCATAAAAAAAAAAAAAAAGAAAGAAGATACAACAGAAAATATGAAATGAGACCTCAGACAAGGTCTATGTCATCTGCCTACACTTGATATAACATATATAGAATTAATAAAAATCATTAACTGAATCAAACAATATTAAGTAAAACACCAGCAACTATCTTTCCATATCTCATATAAATATATTCTAATGCCAATGTTTAACAAATAAAGATATACTGCACAAAGAAAATGTTATTTTCATTTGATTGTTGACGAAGTAAGATTTTTCTTTATAGAAAAAATAGCTCTATGCTTTTCCCATGATTTAGATTTGAATATATGGCATAGAGTAAAGCCAATGCTTAAATGCCATACTTAGTAGTGAACATACAAGCAAGCATATGTATCAGTAACAACTCAATAACAAAGCAATGCCAACTACATCACATCCTGGGTAGTCATATTTATGTAATTCTAATGTGAGGTTGTGATTCCAAAAGCTTGAAATATACAGAATAGGAAAATATGAATATCGTTTTCTTAACAATTCCTTAATCGTTTCCTTAAATTACATTCCTTTCATAATTTGTACTCTAAATATAACAGGGAATGTTACCAAGTATTTATGAACATTATATGTTTTTTCCCTTTAACAGATAAAAAAATATAAAAAAGTATGCTAGTATCAAATGAGATCTTTGATTACCGAATAAGTTAAAAAACATATATATATAGAAGAAAGGTGTTTTATTATAGAATAAAGAAAGGTAAGCTACTTTATTTAGTAAGATTTTGATACTGTCATATAGAATCGTACAATTCTGATTTACAGTCACTCAAAAGGCAATCTCATTCATGTCAGAAAAAGCGACCACTGAAAGATTTATCAAAAGCATATCTAATAGTAAGTTGGGTCAATTTTGTAATGAATGAATGGGATTTAATTGAACGTTTACATGTCAAATAAAACAAAACAATCGGTTCACAAATTTGATTAACAGCACAGGGGGCAATATTATTCAAAATTTACAAACACATACCTGCAAAGTAGTCATTTTTGAAGTTGTGGATATTACTTTTTAACCATTACACACNCCACTGAAATATTTATCCCAAGCATATCTAATAGTAAGTTGGGTCAATTTGGTAATGAACAAATGGGTATTAATTGAACGTTTACAAGTCAAATAAAACAAAACAATCGGTTCACAAATTTGATTAACAGCACAGGGGGCAATATTATTCAAAATTTACAAACACATACCTGCAAAGTAGTCATTTTTGAAGTTGTGGATATTACTTTTTAACCATTACACACTGGAAAGAAATATTTTATTTTAGTTTTATTACGAATTCTTATCTAACATTAAAATATTGACATCTCGATGTACAATTTCCAAATAAACCATTACAGAGCATAATAAGCAAAAGCGCTGATTCGTTAAGGGAAAGATATCACGTGAGTTATTCCATGTATTTCGGCTTTTTATCGCTTTTTTGGCATACTTCACATGTCATTTTTCATCATTTAAATAGCCAAGTAATTTTTTTATGACGTAATGAAAGTAAGCAACATTTAATAAAAAGAGGTAGGAGTAGTGCCTTTCACTTTTTCTTTTATATAAAAAAATAAATAAAATCTAGTTTCTACACTTGGGTACGCTGCAAGCTCTGTACCGCCTATACTTCCGGGTTACTGTTACAGGTGTATTTTAAAGCCATTTGACTCACAACTTATTACTTGTGTCTACAATGCTAAAGATGCTAACACTATTATATTATATTTTTTATAAGATGGTGCTCAGCTTTCAATAAGAACAAACAGTAATAAACAAATGGAAAGAGGCCAAAGAAGCGAGTTATTCAAAATCTAGCAACCATGCCACCTTTTTTAACAATATATCTATAAATAACTGAATCAAATTTTAATTTCAAACTCACCAGAATTACTAAATAACCTTAATATCTTATGAAATACGGCAAATTTGAGCTCAGAAATCATCTAATTCATTTCGTTTATTGAAAACAAAATTATCCGTTTGATAATATCGCCTCGCTGAATAAGCTGTAGTAAGCAGTTGTAAACTTTCTAGCCGGAACTAAAGCAGGTATTGGAGCTCGAGATTGTTATTGTTTACATTTAAATTGTCATTTCCCGTTGTCATCCATTTGTCATTTCCCGTTGATGAGTGTTGCTCGTGAATTTATTTTATAAATTTTTGTTTACATTTTGAAATATGTAATATCTAACAGAATATTGCATTGCGGTAAGCTATCCGCCTCTCCACATTTTACTAAATCTTAATTGGTACTAAAGTTGTACGATTAAGTTCATTATAATTACATTGATACTTCATTTTCATATAATGTTAAGTTGTCATTTATTTAAGTTGGCACTGAACAAAATATTTTGTTTTAATTTAACATTGTTCTAATCTGTTCATAAGGGAAAAAAACTCCATGATCTGAAACAAGTGTAATGTATCGGCTTTTTTTGTTTATTTATTTTTTTATTTATTAATGCATGAAATAAATCCTGAAAATCGTAAATCTATTTATCCGTTTTTATCGGGATTTTTTGGAGTGTATATATTTTTTCTTAAGTTTTACGAGATTGTCCTTGTATGTGATGTTTTCTTAAATTTTATTTTTTTTTAGTTTCTCGCGGGCTACTGCCAGGAAGTTGCCAAGACTTGGTGATTATTCTGCTATAGATCAGGATACGAAAATCTTCACCGCATAAAATCAACCTTTTTTTAAAGAAGGCTTTAAAAATACTTACTCAAGCTATCACAGAAGTAAAGAAAAAATATCCCTTATCAATCATCTATAAAATAAGCCCAACCATATACCCACTTTACACCACCTTATAAAAAGACTCATAAAAACTGGATTTTGAGATTTATACTTAAATTTCTATGCAGATCTGTTCTTATAGATGTCCCTTTTCTAGTTTGAATAAAATTAATAGTTTTTGCTAGTTTTTAACTCGTTTGCAAGTTTACTTTATCTGTTTCTTTTTATACATCTATTTGTAATTGAAACAAATGCACTCAAAAGGAATCATTTAAGGATGTATGTTCTCTGCATGCAATCAAGGTATCAATGATTTAATGCAACTAATTATTTGAAATTTAATAATTAATAAAATTATGACTTCTTTATTTTTGTTCTTAATTTTTAAAAATATACTGTTATTAATATTTTCAACTTAAGCACTTTAAGTTTTATGAAGTAATTATATTTATTTTTGTTTCTTAACTAACTCTATTTTATGATAAAAATGTAAATCGATGTACAAATGACAAAAAAAAATTCTATTTTCCTTGTTTAAGTTCCTTAAATTGAGTTGTAGTGAAGATTTTGCTAAAGTACTCGTTACACAAGAAAGCCAAAACTAATTTTGTAGCCTAAAACTTTTGTATTGGGGTTTAGTGATCCTTCATTATATCTTATGGGTATTTTAGTTTTTTGTGTTGGTAATTTTGCTTCAAAACATTGTTATCAAAAATATCAATGAGGGGTTTTTTTTTTAAAAAAAAAATTCTGAAATTGTTAAGATACAAAGTTTCCTTTGATTTCCTAAAAGCAACCCAAAACATTATACAGTGTAACGTGCCATATCCGGACGTCCCTTTTCCGAAAGGGTCGATATTTCCCGGACAGTTTTTAACAATCAAAATAAACAAACATCTCCTCATCTTCTAATGTTTATTTTTCGCTTCTTAGATTCAGATCGTTTATTAGATCGTTTTAAGCTTTGTTTACCTTGAGGATCGATTATACGGAAAAATCTAACGCGACTTTCCATTGTACATAAAATTTTTGTTTGAAATGTATTGCGACTCCAGTTTTAATTCAAGCTATGAAGGGTCGAAAGTGCCGAAATCCCTTTTTGTCTCTCCTAATAGTTAAAATGCACTTAGATTTAAAAAAAAAAGGTATTACATAAATCTAAATCGCAAAATTTTCATTTTGTTAAATTTTTCTTTTTATTCTAAATCTGGATAGCATTCTTTTGCATATTCAATTAATTTTAGCATCTCAGATAAAGTAATATCTGGTAAAAAATGCATTATCTATTTCAATATAGTTTATTAGAACTCAATTATTATTACTCGTTAGAACTCATTGAAATTTGGTATATATTTATTACTTTTTGTTGAAAACTGATGATTTTGAGAGAAATTTTATTAATGATTGTCTACTTGATAATTTTTTTCATTTAATTAACAATAACATGCGATATCAAATGACTATTTTAAATGTGTTAGATCTGTTTAAATGACTTTCAGAGTTATAATGCTTACTAAACAGTTATGCCATTTTGTTCTATATTAAGATTGTTAATTTCCCTCGAAAAACTCCCCCCCCCCAAAAGGCTCTAATTTTATATTCAAATGTAGTCTAAATAAAATTTTCTGAATTAAAGTTTTAATCAATTGCAATGTTTCATTGATTAAGAACATCACATGAGCTAAAGCCATGGTGGCTAAGGGGGTAGAGCATTTACCTCCGACTGAGGTGACCCATTTTCGATTTTCAGCGATGGCTGGTTTATACAAATTCTACTCCCAGCTTGCATCGACCACAGCGCTGACATAGTATATAATCAGCAGTGGCAGACATATCACGAATTAGAATCCCCTTGCTGTCAAGCTAACCATGGGAGGTTTTTGTGGTTTTCCTCTCCATGTGACGTGAATGTGGGTTCGCTCTCTCAAGAAAAGTTTTCTATGAAGATTAGCTTAATATAGGAAGGCTTTCCGAATGATCTTTGGTTATAAAACATAAAATGAAAATAAAATCACATGCTTCAGTTTACTGACATTACTTGCCAAAATGTTTCTTTTTTACATTGGGAATTTGGGATTATCTTCATTTTCTCTTGTGATAACTATGCAGAATGCTGCTAGATGGCAGAGTGGTCGACTGCAACACCAGAGCTTTCTAAGCTTTACTATAATGTACGTATTAAGTTTATTAAATACACACAGTTTATTTTAATGTAATATTTGGTGACAGCAGTTTTATATATATTATAATATGGTGCATGTGCATGTCTCTTACTACTCTGCTTTAGCATCGCTCTGCCTACCGTCCCCATAAGTTTATATCATAATCATAAGGGAGTTTCATTAGGTATGCATGCTGATAGTCAGAAAACCTATATGCCAAGACAGCTAAGTAACATGTTGAAGCAGCTAGTGAACTTGCCATTTTATGATTCAATGAAATTTTATTTATCTATGTTTGAATGTTGACTTCTGAGCGTATTTTGTTAGTGCAAGCAGGGTTACCAATTTTTTAAAAACCTTTCTACAAAAATATAAAATTTTTATCATATTAAATGACAAAATTATGTAAAATGTGCTTGGTATTTGAGTAGACCACCTTATGAATTTTGCCGAGCAAAAAAAAAGTGCAGTAGAGTCTTGTTAATTTGAGGTAGTAGATGGGACAGGCCCTACCTTGAACTAATAAAAATTCTAAGTTCGAAATTTATAAAGTTTCAATTAACAATGTATTAGAAATTTAAAAAAAAAGCAATTTTTACGCTTGTTTGATGACTCAAACGTTCTATTTGCAATGTTTTCAAAAAGATATATTTTAAAGGATTCATGAAAGATCCCATATTAAATTGATTTCTTATGATAAATGTAAACAGTCCGTTTAAACTTAAATGGACCAGGATGAAGAAGCTAACTACTTGATCTGATCTTAGTGAAATAAAAAGGAATACAATTAAAAACAGGTAAATATTTGTTTTTAACAACAAAAAGAAATACTTAAAAGGGAAAACAAAACCTGCCGATTCTGAAATAAGTTTGGTGAATACTTATTCAGCCTTGTTTTTGTTTTAAACACTTAAAATTGTTAAATAAATTAACAAATGTTCTTTAAAAGTCATATTTTAAATAAATATATGCTTAATAAATACAATTTTCAATGAAAATTCCTATATTTGGTTCATATCGTATGTGATATGTGTTTGTACACGCAAAATGTTAAAAAAAAAAAAGGATATCATATGACAGGGAGAATAGGTGAAACCTGGAAGACATAGGGAACTTTGAAATCCCCAAAATCGACAGGGAAATTTGAGTTGCAAACTGGGAAAATTTAGAGAGTTGTGTTTTTTTATTTTCGTGACCACTCAAAGCGCAATCTATGTGATTTTTAAGGATGATAGTTCAACTATACTAAGATATTTCAGCTATATTAAGCTATTTTATTTACTCATTTTTTTAAGTTCAGCTGTTCCTTTTTTATTCAAAGTTTTCCAGCAAACTAGTATAGTTAGCCCAATATAGTTAGTATAGTTAGCTCAATCCAGAGCACTATAATTGTGTCCTTTTAATATATTGTGTATAATATGTACAGGGAAAACACAGGGAATTTTTTTTCCCAGATTTGAGTGGCAACCCAAGAAAAGGTTTGGAAACGGTCAAATATCTCCAGAAATATACATTAGATCGAAAAAATGAAATAGACGTATTCAACGCTTTTTAAAAGCTATCTAATGATAACAAAATCGATCTTCCACTCCAACCCTGAGGGGCAGGAGGGGGGTAAATTTGAAATATTATTCCTATTTTTATTACAATCCCATAAAAAAAAAATCCTATTTGGCCTAAAAGTTTATACATTTTTCTTCACAAATGCACCACTATAAGTGTGAAAGTTTAAAAGACTAAAAACTGTTTAAAATGCCGGATCTTGACACCCAACCGAACATAAAAGTAGACATGCTTACAAAAATTTTTTTTCAGGATTTCTTAAAAAAAATAATTTTTTTTTAAAAAAAATAGGGAGATATTTTTATTTATTTAATCTGATGGGTCCCATTTTAAAGTGTTACTTTGTATCCTATTTTAATTTTATCAGTAAGAGCACCAACTGTAAAGCAATAGGGTTACTTTTTTTATTTTTTATGGAGAATCCAAATCTGCAATAAAAAAAATAAGGGCTCAAATTTAAAATTTCAAAGCTATCCCCATTCAGTATACATATAATAACTCAAAATTAGCTCAGATAATATAACTTTAAATTAGCTTAAAAATACTCACTAAATCATTATATTCATTATAAATAATTCAAGTATAACTGCTACCAATATATATAAAAGAATTAATCTATTACCATTTAGACATACTGAATTTTTTCGTATTTTACTTTATTTGCGCAACAGTAAATTAATATGCAAATTAAAAACTAATGTGTCTGAAAGGAGACCAACTGAAATATATGAGATTCCCCACTTTACAAAAGAAATTTCACGAAAACAGTTTTTTTACTTAGCACCTAAATTATATAATAAATTACCATTTCAGTTGCAAAACATCAAAATATATTCTTCTTTTAAGCGTGCTTTATTTCAATTTGTGATGAACATTGACGATTTAGATCTCTATTTTTCACTTTAAAGGAAGCATTTGATTTTTTATACCAGTCTTGTGCCAATCCAAATGAATTTATGTTACCTTTGTTATTTTTTTTTTATTTATTTATTTATTTTTTTTATTTTTTTNTATCAGGGGTCTGTCTAGGTTTTTCTGAGAGGTACCTATTTTGTGAAAATTTAGACATAATTTGTGAAAAATTAAAAATTATATTAAAAAATCAACACAAAAATATGGATTTATCGTTTCTTAAGGGATACAAAAATAAAATTTTAAGAAAAAGTATTTTGTGAAACTACCGTTTTTCCTAAAATTGAATTTGTGAAACTACCGTTTTTCCTAAAGTTGAATTTGTGAAGGTACCGCTAAACGGTAGTAAATTCGGCTTGGACAGACCCCTGTATATATTTTTAATAATGTAAATTTTTTTTTAGGATATTTCATTTTAAAAAGACTATTTGTGCAGATTTTTAATCTTTCTGTTATTTAAAAAGAAAATTAAAGCTGGTACATGTAAAATCTCTATAATTAAGATTACACATAACGAAAATTAATTTCAAAGTTGCAAAAAATGATAATTTTTTAATATTTCTGTAAGTATTATTCGAAAGACAACTTCCTCTTGAAAATGAAACTTATACTACAGTTATTTCCACCTGATAGCAAGACACATTTTTTAAAAATGTTTGCTATGAAAAATTAGTTAAAAATTTGCCATAATTGGTCTCTGAAATGTTTAATTAAAGGCAAAATAAAGCTTATCATAGAAATAAATAAAAAATTTATAATTAAAAAAAAACGACTTATTTTTTGATAATTTTAAGTATCTAATAAATTCAATTTCAAAATAAAAGGAAAAAAACCAAAAAAAAAGAAAAGAAAAAAAAAGACAAAATAAATGAATTGGAGCCAATTGAATCAAAATGGTACCCTAATTGATCATGAAATTTAAGAAACATAAATGATGTAACACATAGCAAAAAATGTTACATGACATGTAACTGAAAAGAAAAAGCAAAAAAGCTAATGAAAAGTTATCTTCAATTTTTATTTTATTCCAGATAACATTATTTGTATACGGATAAATATAATGGGCAGTAATCAAATTATAGATAAATAAAAAGTGAAGAAATTTAGAATAGAATCAAACTCTCAAAGCACTAAAATTGATTGATAAAATGTCAACGTTACTAAATTAAGTTTTCATTTAATGATAATGAGAAAACATATTTGTTTAGCACAAAAACAGTTAACTAAAATAATAAAAAAATTGTATGTCAAATTTTTTGCAAGAATATATACGTAGGAATGTATTAAATATATAGCCAAAATTACAAAAATAGTCTATTGGCAGTATTTTATAATACAATTATAAAACATTAATGCCATGATGAAATTCTCAAGCATCAATACTAACAAAATTTTGGGATTTTATAGAATAAGAAAAGATATCCAACTTTTCGCTACATCATATCTTAAGTTTATTTTGTCTGTCAGCAAAAAATTAAGTCTGTAAACATTTAAAGATAAAAAAAAGATATAAATAAATATAAAATAACATTTGCGAGAATCTTCAACAACAAACAAATGAAATAAAAAACACTACCTTCTATACATTACATCACTGATAAAAAATAACGTAAATAAATAAGAAACAGTTCAACAGATAAGAAAATGTGTATTAAAAAAGACTCATGACCAGTAAAAAAAAAAAAAAGATACATTTCAGACAATATTATCTTAATAGAAAAGATGAGGTGATGAAAGAAAAAAATTGCTAAAGAAATACTTGCTGACAAATTAATCCAAATTTAAAAATAACTAACCACTAAATTACAAAATAATTTGAATATTAATTACAATGTCAAACTGTTTCAAATCAATCCCATGTAAAAAAAATAAAGAAAAAAAAACCTATTATTTTAATTTTTTTATAGAAACTATTAGTTATCACAAAAGTAGAGTATAAAACAAACATGCTATCACAGCAGTCATTAAGTACTGACACTACATGTCAAACCAACCAGGTTATTTCTTACATGACCATATCAGGTTTTTAATGAAATTTTCAGACTTTTACCTCCTGATTCCAGGCAAATTTTTAAAATAATTCAGTACTTTTATACTGAAAAAATATTTTTAATTTTTATTTCGATAATATTTTCAGAAAATGTAGTGATGTTGTATACATCTGACACGAAACAATTTTTGTTAAAGTAAAAACATAATTTTTCAAGCTTCATAGAACAACTTAAACTATTTTAAAACACATTAAATTAGAGAAAAAAAAGTGATTTTTTTTTAATACTTTATGAAAACTAACCAAAAGTGTTACATTTTCTTTAAAAAAAAAATTACTTCTTAAAGGAACACAGGGCGTCAAAATTTTTTTTTATCTCTTTAATTTTCAACAACTATTTTGATTTAAAATGCATATAGTCGACTGATTTTACCTTCAAATTATAAATTGAATAACGTTAATATTTAATGAAGGGTAGAAATGTATTTCACAGAAATGTTAGAACAACAAGTTTTCAAATCATAAGGTTTTGCCAAAAGAAAATGAAAAGAAATGTCATTGACAACAGTGAATGTGGATTTTAATAGTTAGTTGTCAAGAAGAAAAATAGGGAGGCATGATAGGTATTTAATCAATAAAAGACACATTCTTAAGAAATGCTCTTTTATCAGGATGAAGATAATTTAGCAAGTGGCTGCCCACACATTGCTTTATGAAAATAAACGGTTAAAATTGTAAAAATGAAAGGATGTTTGTTTTTTCTTTCCTATATTTCTGTACTTATATCAGAATAATATAAATATGTCTTTCACAGCAGAAAATGTATTCTTCTAAAACTTTGTTTTATCATAATAGCAAAATGCTTAGTGCCGACCCGCGAAGCGGGTTTACGGCTTTTCGCAGCCCCCATAGCAAAAGGTTTGTAATTTTAACTCATTAAAAACATACAATATTAGTAGTATGACTTCAATATTAAATTGTATTGTATTGTAACTTCAATATTGTATAGTAACTTCAATATTAGTAGTATGATGGTGATTTGGTTAGCCTGGAAAAAAACTTCTTGAGAAGACTAAGGCCCACCAAGGGCTATTGAGCCATTGATGATAGTGATGATTTGGAAGTTAGTTGTAATAGCATACTTCTCATAATATGTCACACTTTCTATATCAAATATTTATTGTATATATAGTCAACAATTAAATACATATTTAATTTTATATTACCTGTCAGCTATAAGGCCAAATACAATGCATCCTATACTTGTTCCCACATAAAATATAGTTTGTGATTGATATGGAAGTTTGTTTTTATCACACACCCAGTTTTGCTGCAAAAAAATGAAGAAAATAATTTATTTTATTGCTAACAATAGAATAGAAAACATAATACAAAACTACCAAACACTAAAAACATAACGAATGTATGGAATAGAAAAATAAATAATACTTACATCAGTTGCAATAGTAGGGTATAATTCACTAAAGTCATAAACCCAGCCATTTAAACAATGAACAGTTTTATTTATTTCTATAACTAGATTATCATCGATAGAAACCTCAGAAAAGTTAGATGTCAAAATCATTTCACACATTTTTGGTAAAATTCGCCCTTCCCTTTCTTCAAAAGGAAGTGTGAAATTTGAAGAGAAGGAAGAATCATTCCCATCGAGTTTACATCTATGATCAGGTACCAAGATAGTAAAAAATTGTGTAAAGTAAACTAAAGCACACAAACTGGCAGATGGAACAACTAAAAATGCACATAACAGTTTCTGATAGAGACCGAAATCTCCTACTTTTTGTAAAGCTATATTGAAGTCCATCACAATATTGTTTTATACTTCAAAAATAAAATGCAATCCATTTGTTTCCTGAAAAAAAAATATTAAAATTAAAGTCAAACTTGTTAAAATATAAAAGAAACAACTCAATGAAATAAAGGCAGACTTAACAGTAATTATAAAAACTCAAGCTTTCAAGAGCCAAATTGTAATTGACGAAAATATTTTGAAAAAAACATAAATTGGATACAATATTATAGATGCAATATCAGTGTATTTATTTATTTTTGTTTCTTAATTTTCGTAAGATGCGGTGCAAGATGTTTTTAATTTTTTTAAATAAGTAATACAACTTTTAATGTCGAATATTTTAATCAAGAATACAAAGAAAATTATTTAAATTTGATAAAGTCAATAAGTTTTTGAAACATTATCATTGGAGGACACTCAAAAGCAGAAAAATCATTACATAAAATATCTTATAAGGAATTTCAAAAATATACATAGAAGCTCGTTTCAAAATTACTCACTTTTAACCTAAGAAAACTATTTTAAATTCAGCCGACTACTGACCTACTAGCAGAAGAAATAATTCAAAAAACAAGTGAATGGTGAAAGTTATCAGCTATTTGGCGACAAATAATATTTATGTTAAAGACTCTCTTTAGGTGCTAAGTAAAGTTGACTTCTCTTTAATTGGTTGTAGCAAATCACATGGCTCTTTGAAAAAAAGGAATATGTATCATTTGAAACACAAGCCAGCTTACTATGATTGCAATTCCAAACATCAATCTATCAATATAAATGATATGGAATTAAATCTAGTCTACGTTCAGTAATAATTCATATATGATTTATAAAATTATCTAAAGTATATGAATTTCCTATTTAAGAATTATATTTAAAATGTCTGATGATAAAGAATCGCCATATCCTGTTTCTAAAACAAAACAAGAACGTTATTTTTTGACACGATTTGAAAATGATGTTCAAATCATTTTTGATAAAATGTGTTTTTCTAAAAACATTCCTTCTGTTAAAGTAAATCTGTTAATGAGACGAGGTATTCTGTATTTGAAAGCCGATTACATTTTACCATTAAAGAGCTTTGAAAGCCCCCAGCTGAATTGTGAAGAACTAGTTTTTCGATTAAAAACAATTAACTATTTACTTGACGTGGAAATAGATTCCAATTTCAATTTAACGTTTGGTTTAAAAAGACCTGATGTGTACAAGATCGTTTTAGATGAGGTTACTAATTTTAATTGCTCTTATGGAATGTCAGAAAAAAACAATGTTGTGCTTGTTCTTGTTGACAATGATGAAGTGAATGATTTTATCAGAACAAGAAATAATTTACTTGCCCATCACATCATATCTCTCCTTTCTGCTAATAAAGCTGAAGTTTATTATTCTGGGTGTTCGTTTTTATCTAAACATGATATTCTAAATGCTAGTGAAGTAAAGTGCCTTGCAGATTGTGATTTAGATTATTTGTGTGATCAGATGCGAGATAAACTGAATGTTTCTGAATGGAGAAAAGAATGTGAAACTGAAGGTAGTCTATGTATTGATGCAAAAGAGTATTTGGAGAAAAACGTACTTTTAGATAAGTATGGAAAAGATATCAATAGTATTATTGTACCAGATCTTAATGATAAACTTTTTAAAAAAGTAGCATCAATAAAGCACTTAATAAGTAATCACATCAAGGACACACCAGATGTCATATTGTATATTGCATTCCATGGTGTCAACCGGGCAATATGGAAAATGGGGATTCTGTTACAAATACTTGAAAAACCAATATCAATAAAATCATATATTTTTAATCAAAGTGTCAAAATAAATGTTAAAGAGGACTTTACTTTTGATAATTATGTTCTTCATCATAAAAACGGCGTCGAAAAAGCTATGACAGAAAAATATAACATTGATGTGTGCCAGGATAAGGTATGGTCATCACGAATTGAAAAGTTGATAGATTCAGCTGTGAAATTCGATTTTTTGAAATTAAGTCCTAATATGTCTTTAAAACTTGATCTATCTAACTGCCATAGTACTGAGAAAAATTCAGGCATTTTTGTTCAATACAATTTTGCTCGCTTATCTAATTTATTTTCAAAGTTTGAAACTAAGGTGAAGGAAGGTTATTACGAACCTTTGAAAGCTCTAGAAGATGTGGATTTTTCATTATTAAGACTTGAAGAAGAGTGGAACTTATTCCAATATGTTGTTTCTTTTCCAAAGTTGATTAATAGAGTTTTAGACTGTTTTTTTTCTGAAAGTAATTTGAAAACTCGTTATCCTGTTAATGGAATCTGTGTTATGCTTACTGAATTGTGTCACTACCTGAGCTTATATTACAGTAAAATTCGTATACTGGCTGGACCTCAAAAACACCTTCAAATATTAATGAATGCAAGACTTTGGTTGCTAAAAGGAATTTATAGAGTTATGTTGAATTCATTTGTTTTATTGGATATCCAAGGACTTGATGTTATGTAGCTATAAGTTTATGTGTAAAAACGAATAAATCTAACTATCTGAATAACTATCTTATGTGTAAAAACGAATGAATAAACTATCTGAATAAAATTATGTTTGAAGTTATAAGTATTTTTGCTCATTGTTTTGGTATATTAGAGAGAAATTTCTGTTAAAAAAATTAGTAAACAGCTCTGTATTTTATTCTTGTAGTACTTTAATGCATATAGACAAATAAAAAAGGAGAATAATTCGTAATTTTAAAATCAAAATAAAACTATTATTTATCTAATTATTTATTTAAAAATATTATGAAACCGTTCTTATAGCCATGGGATTTTTTCTCACAGGTTTTCGTTTAGGTGGATTCATTACATTTCTTCCTATTTTACATTATTGTACCAAATGCTATAAGATTTTTATAAACATTTTTGTGATTGCAACAAGTGTATATTGTGTATTTTTATGCCTATAAATTTATATGCCATTTTATCTATTCAGTTAGGTACTAAATTGGTATAATAGCAAGCTCTGCTAGCAAACTGCCACAGTGCCTAAAAAATTATAACTTGTACTCAAGACGTCAGTAAAATTTATCTTTATAATACTAAAAATTTTAAAATTTTCAGACTTTTTTTTTTAAGTAAAGGATTTTTTTGAACATTAAACCAACCAGCCGTTTATCATTTTTGAAAACCTAAATATTTCTTATAATATCATGTTAGTAAATGTAGTGATTTTAGCATATTTTGTTGATGAAATGAATGTATAAATTAAAATTTGCTACAATCTATTAGATAATTTGATTTTTATAAATTGCAAACCTATATTTGTTTGAATAATTTATGTTTTTAAAAGTCAAAGTTTTGGCATTTTATATTTTTTTATGGATACTGCATTTAATGTTTCAACCGAGTACATGATGGTAAGTGCATTTTTGAAATCATTTTAATTAATATTTTCTTAAGTTAACTATGAACAAGTATGACCAAAATCTAGGTGTTCACATTATTGAAATATATTACCAGTTTTTTGGCTTGTGTGAAAATGAAAATAGATAAAATCACAAGAGGCTCTCTCTACTTTCTTCAACCTCCCAGAGTCACTCTCTGAGAAAAATTTTTTTTTCAAATAAATCTTAAGTCACAGACCTAGTTAATAAAAGGAACAGATTACTGATAAAATAACTTTCTAAAAATCTTTTTTCAAAAGACTACCCTAGAGTTATCTGGAGGTTTTATCCAACCAACTGGAAGTTTTTCTTTAATCTGTCATACCCATTGTTGTAGGAAAGATCTTTATGCGCAGTATTCAATATGTAGGAATAGATTTAATGTTGTGTACTTGCTGATAAATTAATTGGAAAGTGTCCTGATTAGATTTATTTAAAAATCAACCAATTTGATTAAATACTGAGCGTTACACTATGGGTAATATTGAACAGAAATTTTTCCATATTTTACATTAAATACTCATTGAGCAATATAGAAATCTGAGCTTATATAAAAGTTTTTTTATTTGTTTTATTATTTAGCAGTAGCAGGTATTTCCTCATATTCAGTAGTAAAGCTACCAGCTGAGCAAGAAAAAAAAAAAGATAGAACTGAAAGGATTAAAAGTAAATAAAAGGTGCAATTAATTCACTCTAAACTGTCTTATAAAAAGTGGAATCAAACTTTTCCCCATATAACAAGAAAAAAAATAAATAAATATAATCTACTATAATATATTATCCTATTTTTATTTTATTTATTATTTATGTGTCCGAAATTATCTTCTTAATTTAAATCTGAAAAATATAAATGCCCAATGTTCTAGTCTGTTTTATTCGTTAAAACTAAATTTGAATATTTATTGCTAGAATAATTAAATTTATTTATCACAGAAATATTAAATTTCAATTGAGAAGTGTATACTAGAATATTTTCAAGGAGGACATTTATCCCTCCCATAATTTGATAAGAAATTGCAGGCTTCACAGTATCTTTATGACTAATGGATGAAATTTTCCATCATTTGATTAGATAAATGGGGCTAGGTATACTGCCATGCAATTAATAAAACAATGCAAATGCTTCATGATAGATTTTGAGAAAAGTAACTTGAAATCAATTTCTTATCTACAGCTAATGCTATGAAAGCTAAAATAAAATTTCAGAAAACTGATAAAACAAAATTTATTTAAAAAAAAATATTGTAAGTAATATGTAGCTTATCATACAAAATAACAAATATTACATAGGTTTTTCTATTGCATGGGAGTATAGGCCTCTGTAAAACTCATAATTGGTTATACATTTTTAAAGCAAAACAGCTGAAAAAGGGGCAAAGTTGTACATTAATGTGCAAGTTTGTACAAGATGAACATATAGATGTCTAGATTTTATGTAAGATATTCACGGCTCTAATTCATGAAATCAACATAATGGAAAATATAATGATAAATTATTTTTTTAAAGTAGATTTTTAACAAAAAATTCAAATACAGTCTTTTAGTTGTAGTACCAGTTATTAAATTTCTAAGTTCTAATACATATTTAAGGAATGTAGTTTTTAAAAAAAAAAAAGTTATTTAAGAAAATGTTAGGTGTTTGACAATCATCTGCTTTAATATAAAGTTTTAGAATACTTGTAAAAAATGAATACTGAAAGTATGCCCACATTAAGAAAGGAAATTGATATTTAGGAGAGAAAAATAAAGCAAAAAGCTATAAAAACCTGAAGAATCCGAACTGAGCTCAACAAACCAGTTTGACCTCCAAATGAAATGGAAGCTGTTTCTAGTTCATCTTCAATCAGTTTCCTCTTGAAATCAAAGAGGTTTTGATGCTTTTAATCAAGGTATCCTTAAATACTTAAAAAAAAAAAAAAAAACTTCCTCCAACTTTTCTAGGTTGATTTTATCAATTCTCCCTCATTTTAGTAGCTTAGGGTATACATTTTATTGATTTTTCAGTCTATGCTTTATTTTTATACAAAATATATATTACAAAACACTTGTACTTGCTGTTAGAGTTGAAAGTACGTAACTTTTTAATCTAGCCTTTCTTGTTAATGATTCTTTAGGTTCTGATAATTTTTTTATTTATTTCGTTTAAATATTACCTATTTCAATATCTATCATTTATATTTTTTGACAAAGATTCTAGAAAAGTTTTATTAAGACTGCAGCTTATGAAACATTCTGCTCACGTAATATAATAAAAATTTTGAAATTCAATGATTAAACAGTTCTCTGACCTATTAATTAAAAATTCTGAATTTGAATTAAAATTTTGATCTGTTAACCGAAAATTTCTTTTTTTGATCTGTTATGCAGCATAAACTATGCAATGCTAATATAATAAATGCAAAAATTATGTGTAGATAATCATGCGTGTAACAATTTAAAAATTGGTGAAAAATATTTTATAATAATAAAACATAGCTTTAATTATGCAAATTAAAACTGTCATAAGCGATGGTCAATTTCTCTAGAAAAACACTTGAACTTTAACATTATATTTTGTTTGTAGAGCAACAATACATAAAGGCTGTTTGTTAATTCCATAAATACCAATCAAGCTTTTGATATAAGTTTGAAACTTTTGTGACAATTTCATCATTATCTATCTTATAATTTCATTTTAGCATAACATTAAAAAAAATCGAGAAAAAAATGATTTTGTTTCACTTTTAACTGATCCAAAGGGTAAAAAATCCTTTTAAATGTGACAGAATTTTTTTTAAAATCAAAAGGTAGACAATAGCAGGATGTGATTCAGAATATTATTTATTCAAATAAAAAAGAAAGTCATTAATTGCTCCAGATCAACATATTTTGAGACAAAGAAATATTTATTTATAGCAGTAATAGGTTTTTTACTAATAGGTTAATTCTTACTCATATTTATAACTGAATAAACAAAGTTAAACCAACCTACTTAAAATTGACAAAAACTAGCTGCATAACAAAAATAAACAATTTGTATGTACATAATTTTTAAAATAATATAACAATAGTTTATTAATAACTAAAAACAGATAAATAGTTTTAGGAATTAAGGAACAAATATAACACATTTAAGGGGAGAAGTAGATGATAAACACATGTAGATTGTTTCTGTACAACATATGTACCGAATTGATTAAAATTTATAAAAATCTAAAATAAATTAAACTTTATAAAGTAAATGGTTTTCATTAACTTTCTATGATCAGTTACATGGGATATAAGTTACAGATAGTAAACTTTCATATACAGCATACTTTCGAGATTTCAAAGTTGAAGGCACGCTAAAAAAATTTTGAGATAACAAGTTCAGAACTAAATATGTAGAAAAATATATTCTAAAATATTACTCTAAAAAGTAGAGTCATGAAATGAAACTATAAGTTGACTGTAAATCTAAATACAACAATGATAATTTTATTTTTAAAAGTAAGACAAAAATAATTATGCATTGAATAGAAAATAATTGATTTACAATAATTTTACATTGTGATTTTTCCGAAAAGATTCAATTTCTATTTCGAAAAAAAATTCAACATAGCAAGGTTTTGAGAAGAAAATCTTCGACATAGGAATTCAAATTAACATTAGGAGGCAAAGGAGAAAGAAATTTTTTTGATGTAAGTTTTCAAGATATCGAAGTTTGAGATAACGAAAGTATACTGCAGTAACAGAATAAAATCTAAATTATGTAATGCAGAACTTATAATGTTTAATCACGCCCATTTGTTTTTAAACAATAAATTAAAATTATTATTTAAACAAGTATAAAACAAACAAGTGAATTTTAATAAGTGCAACAAGCAGACATATTTAATTACGTATGAGCCAAACAAAATATAAGCAAGATAGATCTAAGTTATTTACAATTTATTAGTAAAAGTAAGTTTCTTCAGAATTAGACAAATATGTTTTGAGCAGAATATGTTCTCTAGTTCTAAGAAATCTCTTCATTATGAACAATATATCTAATTCACTTATGGGTTTAGTGATTCACGGTGGGATTGATACAATAGTACAGTACGATATGAAATATAAAACTATTTTTCGTTTAATAAAATTTATATATGTTTTTAAAATTTAATATACTTTGAAAATAAAAAAAGAAGAATTTGTCTAAGTTAATACAAGATTA